ATGAACAAGCATTGGGTAGAATCAGAAAGGAAGGTTCAGGACATAGTCGGTTAGAGAATACTGTTCGGTAGCCTGTACTCTACTGAGAGTAACAGTAGTAAGTAAATTAAGTAACCAAGTTAGTTGATCCAAAATAATGTGGAAAACATTAGAAATTGAAATCACATTTATAAAAATTTCAATAGTTTCTATGTTGTTTTGTTGAATGTATTATTAATTTTCACATACCACAATTAACACACTTATCGTTTATTGTTGTTGAGTCATAAAAACACATTGTTAATTCATAAATATTAAGTTATTGCATTAATACATTTAATCAGATTAGTTTTCTGAATAAATTAACACTCCCCCTTCACCTTATATTAGAGTTTCCATGCATTTTTTGTTGCTAAACGTTTGTCCTACAATTCAATATTGTTTTCGTTGGGTTTTTTTTCCAGAATATTTATAATTATATTAATATTATTGAGTATTGCATGGATTCCTGTAATTCAAGAATTACAAGGCAGTCAATTATTTATTTATATTCAAGCTATTTCAGCTTATCTTGCTCCACCTGTAGCTTCAGTTTATTTATGCGCTGTTTTAATTAAACGAACTACAGAAAAGGTAATTAATTATTATTTATTCATCAATTCGATATTGTATTAAACATTTGTTTAAAGTGTTAATAAGATATTAGTGACTAACTTCATGAGGGAATTCTGAGAGTTCTAGTGAGAAGCCATGAACAGTGGAGCCAATCCGTGTCAGGTAGAGACAGGTATCTACCTCAGTACAATGGAAGATGGTCACGCAATTTCGTGGATTGGTTGAGGTCAGACATTAACGACGTTGGACGCCGGCTCAGTGGTCAAGTAGGTTAAGCGTTCGCGCGTGAGACCTAAGGCCTTGGGTTTGAATTTTACCGACGGGATCGTGGACACGCACTGCTGAGAAGTGCTACAATAGGATGAAACGGGTGTCCAGTGATTCCAGGTTTTCAATGGTGGTCTAACATCATTCGGTTCAAGATCTCAATCAATACAATGGTTAGATATCAGACGTTTTGTCAAAAGATGTTTGTAAACCTTCTCAACCCATTTTATACTATTGACTAATGACTAAAGAAAGCATAGTAAATAAACTTTGTGGTATTCGATGAACAATATACGTTTAGGAGCTACAAATCAAACAGCGTTTAGATTTGGTACAGAGTTTTAAATTCTCAATCTGATCCGACTATCATTTTTTATGTTTAATAAGCCATATCATGTTTCGACACACGATGGGTTAAAGGTGGCCATGTCACTATATAATTAGGTTATTAACTATTGATTTGAGTGGTGTCGCAATGCTTAGGATGCCAGAATCGGGTCAAAAAACTTTACAAAGTTGGCGGTTGAAAATCACACAAATCATTGATTTGGACCGCTCACAATATTTTTAATATGTTTACTTTTCATCCATATCCACTGCATATCGGGCTAATCATTATGTGAAAAACTAAACATGGGTAAAAACCAGGAGTCTAAATGTCACTTTTTAGAGTACAAATTTGGGACTCAATATATAAGACATTTCGATCTGAAGTTTGTGATGTTAATTCATTCCGGATTGAGACAGAATTCCAACCAGTGAATTCACTGTTAGTCAATCTCCATCATGTACTGGTTTATTCGAAAACGTAGACTATTAATTTTTAAATTAAGGGTTACTTGTCATATGAAATCAGGTATATGAATTGCTAAGTATGACACGAATTAGAAATAGAAACTGTCTAAAATGCTCTGATCCAGTACTTTAACAAGCCATAATGTCATAAACACTGGTACAAGGATGCGCCACTCTTCATCATCCGACCTGTGTGAGAACTGGGTTATGATACTGCTCCGGTGTCCAGATCGAAGCAGGTGGTTTTCTTAGGGGGTGATACCCAGAGCCTTCGATCTAAAGGTATAATCCAAAAGCCAGTGTAGTAACGTTAGGAGATGGAGTCCCATTGTAGCCGGTCAACAATAATTGGTCCATACATCACTTATTCTTTCAGGATACTGGAGCCCATTTACACCATTGGTTCAGAATTAGGGTTTTCCAACTTCTCTAGAAGGACTCTCTTTGTCCATTAACCCAGTTAAAGAGTGTGACATTTGCTTTTCCTCCTCTCAATTTTGTAAACAATACTCCCACCGCGAGATAGCTGTGAGTTGAACGTCCCTGGCAGTGACTGTATACATGCTGCCATGTGAGAGCATTTCGAAAGGGGGAGTTGTCTCTCCTCACACTCAGCTGTATCAGGGCATTTGGCGGCCTTTTTAAGACAATAAAATACTGTTAACATTTTTTTAAAGAAATAAACATGAAATTTTTAAAGCTTTCACTAGAAACATTATAGTTTTAAATTCACTTGGTATTATTTGTTTGAATCATCCCATTGGTGTTTAGGATTGAAATCGATCAGTCTCTTATTGGCATATGTGCATACTGTGTATATTGTTTTTATAAGCAAAGATGGATAGTAACTAGTAGTGAAATCCAGTTTGACACACGTTTCGTCCTATTTGGGACTCTTCAGCTGAGTGTGCCTACATCACAGAGTTGATGTTCACTCCGAGACTCGAACCCAGTATCGTTAGCTATTAAATCTACATGTTGATAAGTTATTATTATTATTATTACTAATACAGTTTATTCAATTGTTGTTTAACTCTTTCTTTTTTATTGTATAGGGAGCATTTTATGGATTAATGTATGGTTTAATTATTGGTTTAATACGATTAATATTAACTATTATATATCATGAACCAATATGTGGTGAATATGATCATAGACCATGGTTTATTAAAAATATACATTATATGTATTTTGCATTATTTTCATTTATAACATGTGGTATTATTGTATGTTTATTATCATTAAATGAAAAACAATTAACTAATGAACAATTATATCATTTAACTTATTGGACTGCATGGGATAAATCTATTAATCATTCATTATATAATAATAGCAATTTACATAATCATATTTCATCGAATGAAATCATTCCTAATACTATAGACAATGAGAATAATGTTAATATAATTAATAATATTCATTATTATCAATATGAAAATAATGAAATCATTAATAAAAGAGAAATATCATCAACTTCTGAATGTCAACAACAACAACAACAACAACAGCAGCAACAGCAAAAAGAATTTGTTAATAATAAAACTATAGAAGGTTTGTGTTTTAAGTGTTTTATTTTATTCTATATATTATATAAATATTACTGGAATTCTCTTATGAGAAGTAATGACCGATGAAGTTTAAACCGGGTTTGTTGTGAGATAATTAGTTGTTGAAGACAATGTTCGATTAGTTGAAGTTAAACATTAACATTGATGTATGCCTGGTAGCTCAGTGATTTAGTGGTTAGGCACTCGTACGCGAGGCAGGGATTGTGGGTGTTCACTGTTGAGGAGTTCCAAAAAATAGAACGAAAATGTCATCGAATAATTCCAGGTTTCCCATATGGGTCTAGTTTCAATTGCCTTATGTTCTCAACTATTGAAATTAATATAATATCCACAAAAACGTCTTGTGATATACAATATTTCCCGGTTTAAGGTGATTCTTCAATTGATGTTAGTCCAAGAGTAGTAAACAATCTTAAATTTGTCGACTATTCGTCTTATTACTTAAAGATGAAATATTTTTACCAATGTTCTTCATAATCAGTTAAATTTCTATATTTTCATAATAGAAAAGAATAAATAACAGTTATGTTATGTCATATATGTACACCATCGTATTATTCTGATGTATTTAAGTATAAATGAGATATTTTATAGATAAATTTAATGCTGTATATTCAACAGATAATATGGAACTAATAGCTGGGTGATAAATTTTGCATAACTTTACTATTGATGATATTTTCCCGACGCAGAAAACTACTCGGTAATATTGAGGTTAAACGCAGGGTATTAGGGAATGATGGCAAATCAGTTGATGAGGTTGTGAATCTTCATGTCATGTGTTACATATACCTGAACACTGATTATCACGACACGCAATGCTGACTAGTGTTGGGGATGGTTGGTACCAATGGTATCAGTCTTCGAAGTCACTAACTTCTAGTCTTAGTGATGTTGGTAGATGCAGACTACTTGGTTAGGGTGTGCGTGACTATCGTAACCAATGGTTGTAGACTGTGAATGACATGGCTCAAAATTGATCACAGTGGCGTAGGATTATACACTCTTTATCTTTCTTTAAACTATGAGATTAAAGTCGCTTCATATTCTTCTTTTTACGAAGTAATTGTTTCTTCCTGTACTATATCCTTGTATGCAATCTTTCTTTTATATATTACCACCATTGAATTAACTACTCTTATGAATTTGGTGTTCATATTGTTGTGTTGATGAGTGATGTATGGGAATTCAGTGGTATAGGAGTAGGTTGGAAGAAAGCTAGGGGCGGCCAGACCAAAACATGGCACAAATCCATGAAGTCACTGACAAGTGGACTGAGTCATGTTGGTAGGTGTAGACTACCTGGTTGGGGACCGCGAGATGATAGCAACCGATGGTTAGAGACCCTGAATGACATGGCTCAAAATCGTTTGCAGTGGCGCAGGTGCATCCACTCTCTATGTTCTCCCAAATTCTAATTATCTGAATTCTTCATGCCCCTTTTTTTCCTCTTTCCAAATTTATTTCACTGGATTATACTCGTTAAATAACATCTCCAAACCCTAATCCTCCCGATTACTGCTTATACTCTTGCTACCTCTACCACTACGGGATTTGAATCGACCACTGCATCTCTGTGCTAATGTGGTATGGCAACTCGAACTGATGTACGTACGTACTAAGTTCTACGTTGTTACTGACTGACTGACTGATTTGGACCGATGTATATACGTGACTGATCCTACTCATTTCATATATAATGATTGAACATCATAACTAAAGTCTATTCTAGTGAGAATTTACTTTCTTATTTATTTATTATAGATCATGATTTACCAGATAAAAAAACATCTCAAACTTCACCATCATCATCATCAGATTGGTATAAAATGATGAAAAATATATGTTTATGGTTCTGTGGTTGTGCTGAACATCATCCATGTTCTAATATACAATGTAATCATTGTTATTGTTTAAAATTATGTCATAATTTCACAACTCATATACATTCAAATCATAAGAAAATTTATATTATCACAACAAATGATCTTGATAATGATAAGAAATTAGATAATTTAACATTAGAAAATAATAATCATTTTAATTCAGATGATCATTTAACAAAGATTACTTCATTAAAACAAAATCCCAATATAAAATTAAGTTTATATATTGGTTTATTATTCATTATTATTTTATCTATATTTGGTTTTATATTTTTTTCTATTTATTTTGGTTCTATATCCATTGGTCCATTACCTATAACTATTAATAAAATAATAATAAATGATACAATAAAAAATGCTATAAAATCATTAGAATATTATAGAATAGTTACAATACAATAAAGATTATGTTCTTTTGTTTTCATTGTGTTTTTTATGAATATGAATATTATTAATAAGTAGTATAGTTTATGAATAAAATGTTCGCAGCAAATATGAAATGGATTATAGAAATGTTGTATCTTTTCTTTTTGCCATATTATACATATATATATACATAAACATAGATATACTTTCGTTTTCTTGCATTAAACAGATGGGTACCAGACAAGTTAATTTATATGTGAATGGGTTCGAACCAAAGCAGGCGGTTTTTTTTTGGGGGGGGGGTCACATCTGGAATCTTTAATTTAATAGCTGATCTACAAGGTAGTGGAGCAATGTAAGGAGATGCAATCCCATGATAGCCGGTAACCAACAATAGGTTTATAAATCATTTGTTGTTTCAGGATTGATAAGTCTTGTTAATTGAATGCTAGATTTGGTTTCTAAGTTCTTCTAGTAACTACGATGCTAGATCTACACACAGAGATTTGAACACGAGAGAAAAAGTGCGAAATATGTAAGAAACACTTTACTCCAAAAGGTTTGTTTATCTACAAAAAAATCTAGGAATTTTATAGTATTTTAAATGTCATTGCGGTTCCGGAAAACTTTTGGAACGCTATTAAATATAGTGGCAGTATAAGTAATCATCCAATCAGAAAGTCAACATGTGACTTTTCACTTTCTAGATGTTTGTGACAAAACTTCTAGTGAACACTGATTGAACAAGATGCTTCTCAATGTTTACAGAGTCTTTCTTTGCTATTTTCGAGGAGTTTTCTAGATCTCCGCACGAAGGATCGTGGAGCCTATGTGCACCATTGGTTTAAAATCGGGGATTTCCAACTCCCCCCCCAAGTGAATCTTCCGTATCTACCAACCCGGTTAAAGCGCCGGACGTTCGCTTTTTGTTCTCCTAGTTTTGTTAACAACATTAATACGGCGAGAAGGCAGTGAGTAGGACTTTCCTAACAGTGGTTGTATGCACGTAGCCATGTGAGAGGATTTCGAGACAGAGAGCTGACACTCCTCAATCTCGACCGTACGAGGTCGTTTGAGGACTAACCAGATATAGATGTATATTCACTACAGTTAATCTACAAACTGCATAGATGTATGGCGTATCAAGACTTTATTTGACTTTATCGAATTGATGAACACTTCAATCAAACTAAATAGTTTCATCGGCGAAGCTGCAATCTATGTACGAACCAATCAGATATAAGATAATAGGTCTCGGATTTTGGCGCGAAATTCGTTCACCCTTAATCTAATTCCTAACCTTAACCATAAATCATAATTTGAATTCCTCACACTAATTTATAACCCACATTTGGGTCCTAGTTACCAGGTGAACACTATCAAGGTGACTTTAATGTCGTCCAAAAGATGTCCACAAATTCTAATCTCACCATTTCATCAAAGTCAATTTACAGAGTTTAGTCTGGTTAACGTTTTTTTTAGCAAGACATTTTTCTATCGGATAGGGTTGCCGACCCTATGCCCAACCCTCCTTCTTTAACCATTCTTAGGACTAATAATACCACTGAAAGCGTTATAGGCGGCTTATGCTTCTCCATAAGGAGTAACAGGAGTAAGCAAATAAACCTAAATAGAAATAAATAAATCAATGTATATCAATTTTCATACATGAAAATCATATTCAAATTGAAGATAACTAATCAAATTGATTTATGACCATCTATTTGTATTAATATGAATAAACACATATATATATAATGAATTGCTTTATAAGATTAACAAAAGAAAAATGTTTTATTTTTCAATGTCAATGTTTTATTACACGTGATTATTGAATAGTTTTTTGTTTGTTAATAAACTTGGCATTATTCTATAAAAGTAGTATGGAGTTTGACAAATGACAAAAAGAGTTATTAATATTGATTGATTGAAATGTTTCCATCATAAAGTATTCATATTGTCAATCTTGAACAATCAGAATTGTTAAAACAAATTTTGTTTGTTAATTTTTACTATCTATCAGAATGGGTTTTATGGAGATTTTAGAAATTTCACAAATTGAAATCATGAGTCAGTTGAAGCTAGACCACCATTGAAAACCTGGAGAAGTGAGAAGTCGTTACCAGTGGAGTTCAACCAGGTCTGTTGTGAGATAAGAACTCACTGACGACAATGGTGTACGGTAGCGCAACTTCGTGGATTGATTGAAGTTAGACATTAACACCGTTGGATGCTGGCTCAGTGGCCTAATGGTTAAGTGCTCGCGCGCGAAGCCAGTAGGTCCTGGATTCGAGCCCCGGGTGGTGCGGGGTCGTGGATGCGCACTGCTGAGGAGTCCCATACTAGGACGAAACGGCCGTCCAGTGCTTCCAGGTTTCCTATGGTGGTCTAGCTTCAACTGACTCATGATTTCAATCTGTGAAATATATTTGTGTTAAACTGATGAATTATAAAATTTCTATAATGTATTGATCAAATCAATTGACCTGTATAAATACGAGTTAAACTATCAAAGCTTGTAGATAGAGAAGAACCTACAACTTTGTCATCGATTGACGTTTAGGTCTCCCATCAGGACGATCAGGTCGTTCACTGACCAGTTCGTTATGATTGATTTTATTTTCTCGTAGAATTGATTTTTATTGTTGTCGTTTCTATCAGGTTTGAGAGCACAGACATGATTACTGGCGTCCGATAATGGTGTACTTTCTTGACTTAAAAGTTACATTTGACTCTGCAGACCAAGAGGTTCTGTATCAGTGTCTGTCATTGAAATTAATACCACAGAAGTACATAAACCTTGTAAAGGCTGTTTACTCGAACACTACTAATCGGTTGAGAGCTTATGGCGAACTGTCATCTGATTTTGCAATATCAAGTGGTGTCGACTGAATTCTCGGGTATTGATCTCCTTCCAGGAGGTTCACGTATCGACTTAGAATACGCAAATGACATAGTCCTGTTTGATGAAGACGCTGATAAATGCAGAGTATTTCGGTAGCACTGAGCAACAATGCCAGGATGTTTTGGATGCGTTTCTTCCCCTCTAAATGCAAGTTGTTGCTTCGGGACTGGCTTTTGTCAACACCTGAACTAAGGATAGGGAGTGAAGTAGTCAAACACGTCGACAACTTCACTTATCTTTGAATTCTGATCAGCCCTAATGGGTTAGTTTTTGACGAAATATCAGCACGGATTTAGAAAGCTCATTTGACTTTTGTCAATTTATGTCACCTATGGCGAGGGCGATATATCCGTCTATCAATTGAGGGACGAGTATACTGCGCAGCAGTTCGTCCTGTTCTACTTTACGGCTGCGAAACGTGGTCATTAAGAGTAGAAGATACCCGTAATTTACAAGTATTTGATCATAGATGCCCTAGAAATATTGCTTGCATCTGCTGGGACCACCGGATAAGTAATAGTGAGGTGAGGCATAGGGTATTAGGGAATGATGGTAAATCCGTTGATGAGACTGTGAATCTTCATCAACTGAGATGGTTGGGTCATGTGTTAGGTATACCTGAACACTGATTAACAACATACGCAATGCTGACTAGTGTTGGGTATGTTTGGAAGGAAGTTAAGGGCAACCAAACCAAAACGTGGCATCAGTCCTTGAAGTCACTAACTTCTAGTCTGAGCGATATTGGTAGATGCATTCTACTTGATTGGGGTCTGCGTGACTATTGTATCCAATGGTTGTAGACTGTGAATGACATGGCTCAAAATCGATCATAATGGTGTAGATATATGTATTCTTTGTCTTCTCTTCAACTCTAAACTCTACAAACTCATTTTTTCTTCTTACATTATATCCTTATACACAATCTTTCTTTCATATATTACTACCATTGAATTAACTACTTCCATGAATTCAGTGTTCTAGAATTCATTATCAATAAAATCATAATCTATTTTAAACGAATGTAAACCTGAATTGATGGTATAGGTTTGTTTTTTTAACTAATATAACACTGACACAGTTTAGTTGTCATTAGTTTTTAGTGTATTCTAATAGTATAATCATGAAATGGATGATAAATTAAATTATGATTAGTTTGTTTTATGAAAGTTTCTACTGATAATATGCAGTTTTTAGTGGTTTTGTATCATTAATCAATCACTTCGATAACTGTTATACTATAAATTCTCAACGATATTTAAAATCAGATAGTAATGAGTAGTGGCAACTACAGTTTATTAGCGGATGGCGGAGAGACGAATATGTATCTACGAGTAATTACATAGTCAAATTGCATAAGAGTTCAGCAAGATAAAACAAGGAGTAATAATAGGATTTTAGTACATATATACATAGAGAGAAGGATGATATTTAAGTGATCAACATATTAGCTAAATTTAGAACAACATATATAAGCAAACAATATTGTTTTCGATTAGATCCTCATCAGGCTTTACTCGACAAAATTTCAGAAACTCAACGAAGTTAAGGACTTAAGTATGAAGGCGGAAAAACTGCTGACTATATCACTGAAGGAATTAAAAAATAAAGGTATTCTTACTTCTGACTTAAATGACTCATTCAAGCCTACTGGATCGAACACACCACAACTATATGGTTTACCTAAAGTTCACAAGGCAGATCTTCCCCTTCGCCCAGTTTTAGATATGTATAATTCGCCTTATCATAAAACTGCAAAGTGGCTAGTTCGTATCCTGAACCCCCTACACAAATTAGTCGTCAATAGAAGCGTGAAAGATATCTTCGATTTCATATCTAAAATGGGACATATAAATTTAAATGGGAAACGAATGTTATCTTTAGATGTTGCTTCCCTGTTCACTAATGTACCATTAGCAGAGACTATCGATTTTGTGTGCCAACAACTGCAGGAAAAACAAATCAATATTGGAATTACTAGGGTTAGTCTTAAAGAATTACTTTTAAAATGCACAATGAATGTCCATTTTGTCTTTAATAACACATATTATAGACAAATTGATGGTATAGCGATGGGTTCTCCACTAGGTCCCATCCTTGTGGATTTTTTTCTGGCGAAACTGGAAAACGG